AAACATTTTTTTAAAAACCAAAAATCTGTTGACCTATTCTTCTAACTGGCTGTGCAACTCTCTCTGCAACATATCGTACGAGAAATGAGATCATCTATGGGGCCTTTTAGGTACGAATGTAGAGTCTTGTTTGTGTGTTGAGTGCTTGGGACGAACAGATGATTTTAGATGTAGGAACATGACGAAACTTTTCTGGGAATGAAGGAAGAGTGCCAGGTAAAGATGGAAGAAAAATACATGTATGCAGGTGTGTTTCTGTTTGGAAGGGGGAGACGTAAGGGTAAAAGGCGCGAGGAATGGCTTTTAGGGACAGTTAGAGATCAGAGGTCAAACAGAGTTTTAGTAGAGTATTTAACACAGTGAACAGAGTGAACAAAGTACAAGGAACGCAGTTTTGTACCAGACACTTGTGGAAAGATTCAGAGTATTTATTTAAATTTATATTCATTGTTTCTGTTTACGTGACAGTGTACTAGTCTATTTAATTGATACCTTGCACAAATCTGACTCCGTAGGGTGGAAAATTACGTTCCCTTTCTTTCTTTTTCCTGGATTAATTAGATAATTTTCATTAAAAAAGTAAGAACAAAATTCTAATCTTGAAAGTATGTATACCTCCTGTCTTAACTTATTTGTTTATGATTAGATTTTATTCTTTATTATCATACACACTTGATTATCTTCAAGAAAATACTTTTCCTGTACTTATTGAAATACTTATTTTATACTTATAAGTTACAAGTTATAACAACCCAAAAATTATACAGCGGAATAGTACTGCGAAAAATGATCGATTTAATATATTTTAATATTTACTATAGGTTTTAATGACCAGTTTTAATAAATTTGTATGCATGTTAAAACATAAATTATAAATGATACAATTACTTCCTCTTCCCATTCATCTTTTTTTTTTATTCCTGTCATAGTTTTTAAATATTCGTCCTGAAAATATACTGTAGCTATAATCTTACCTAATACAGAGAACAGATGATGGCCACATATACGTTCTTGGTAGACAATAAAGCTGAAGATCTTCCCACATAAAAACATAATCTCATCGACTATATGACTACAGAATTAGCAATATTGTATCTAAAAAGGAGACGCACATGTGACTATGACTTTTCAATTGAAAAAAATTTGCTTGACGTTCCGTAACAATTGTGATGTTTTAGTTTCCACCAAGGGTCCACATATTAAATTGAGTCACCATTTAATACTGTGTCTCTGCCAATTCTCCTTAAAAATATATTTTTTCTTAGATAACTTACAATTTACATTAGTTTATGTCTTTTGAATTAGTATTAATGAATAGATTTCATTTATTCGGTATTTGATCGAAGATAGGTGTCACGAATATTTTGTAAAAATATACTTGGATGAAATTATGTTTTCAACGATATCTGATATTATAACCGTGAGAACATCTTAAATTATATTATTTACAATGAAAAAGTATCTGGTCATCAGCTATTTTTCTTTGTATTAGGCAAGATTATAACTATAGTATATTTTCAGCGTGAATATTACAAAATTATGACAGAAATATGATAAAATTATAAATGCGAGAAAGAAGTAATTTTATAATGATTGATACTCAATATGTATTAACGTAATTGCTTAAAAATAGCCATGAAAATGTATAGTAATATTAAAACATGTTAAAACAATAATTTTTCTTAATCCGTAAAAGTTACTCATGACTCAATTTAATAGATACTTACGGCAGAGTCGGCATTATTGTAATGAATTTTTCGAATGATATTTCATTCGAATAATTTTCAAATAAACGGCGCAAATAGAACGTATTCATTCGAGAACGAACGAATATTATTCATATTATTCTTTAGAATTTCTATTTAAAAGTTCTGTTAAATAACGTCATTTGTTATCCGCGAATAAAACCCGGGACTTTATTCGTTATTCGAAATAAAATTTGCCCAACTTTGACGGACGGTAATGTACACGCAGCGAAGATAAAAACTCGAAGAAAGACAATATATCTTACGATCGCAGGAGTAGAATGCAATTCAAAGTTAAAACTTCGCTTCTTCACGGGAGCAAGAGAAGGTATTGGTCGCCATAGCGTTCCTTCGAGCCATAAATTTATATTGTCAGAGCAAGTGTTACAGTTAAGTTAGAGTCCAGCATGGCGCAGTAATCCTAACAGTTCTTCGGGCCCGTGTAGTTCGTGCAGTCTTCTCGATTGGCAATCTTCGTGTCACGGTATCGCGATGGAACAGGATGCGCCGGAGACTTCGATGCCTCGAAGGAAACCTATACTGCGCGATTGCACGCGCGTGAAAGTTATAACGAAATTCTTCCGCGGAGTAATTTCATTCATTATAGTGTCGAGTACCTGTTCCGTGTTGCGTTGACAAGTAGAAAGCGCGAAATTAGGAAGATTTCTGTGACACGTCAACTTTACGAGATCGTTTTATTATTTTCATGATTGTTCATACTGTACCTGGAAACGGATATTACAGTAGGAGTGCATTTACACGAACATATCGAGGTACTGGATGTTTTGAACTAGGGCAAATGTCTCATTTGCCCTGCGGGCACACGAGTTTAAAGGGTCACAGACACGATGACCCTTGTGCTGCCTGCGGGGCAACAGGACTGAGGGCCCCTAACCCAGTGAATTTCACTGGGCCAGTCTAGAGGAGAAGACAGTGTCGAGGGGTCAGTTGGAGGAGGAGGGACGGTTAAATTCCGTGCCAGAGGGGGCATAGACTCCCTCGTAATGAGGTGTGCTCTTCCTCCTTCTGGAGAGGAGCATGGACGGGGTCGGCTGCGGGGTCGGTTGCTGGATCATCAGGGAATTTTAGTGAGATAAAATCCCACACAGGTCGTCTCCCCCGCCCCCGCCCCACCAGCGGAGGCGGTACGAAGGTTTCTCCCCGACAAAAAAAAAAAAGGTAAGTGTCCCTAATACTGTCATTTTATATATTTTACTTAATAACAACGTAGGGGGGTTCCTGAATTGTTCGGGACATAGGCAGGTAACTGACTGGGGGGTTGAAATAGGCGATACAGCTCTCTCTCGATGATGGAACGTACGCAAGCACGATGATTCCACCCCTGGTACAGACTCGGTCTGTGGGTGAAGCAAAGAGTGAGCTGGTACTCACTTTGGAGACGAAGGATCGGTTGCCCCGACGACCATACTCCTTTAGCTAATTTTATTAGGTAGGGATGGGACGATCCTAGTGACTCTCCGCCCCCCGCGCGAGTACTTCCCCTGCCTCCATGTGGCCCAGGCCTAAAAAAGTTGGTCGGGAAGGAAAACTGGGGGAAACAAGCTCCCCGGGTAATGCCCACCGCAGTCCTATTGCAGGGCTGTGCGAAATCTACCGGCTCTTAAGCCACTGATGGGCCTTGGGGAGGAGTAGGGAGACTCCCTCCTCCCGGGAGAAACGTTCCAAACTAAACTAAACTAATAACAACGTAAGGTATAAATAATTGTGTACAAGAAAATTACGTGTACTTGGTATTGGATGTACATGGTATTTGAAAATTAATGTTGAAAAATGAAAGTGCAATTTGAGTGTTAAAAACATCACTCTGTAAGTAGGGAGTGATGGCGAAATTATAGTAAGTAAGGAGCCGCGATTTTACTATGCAACCTAGGTCATTGTACAAAATCAATTGTTAAAGTATACAAGAATTAATTTAATTTTTGAGGAGGCCGGTATAAGAACACTGGGATTGTTCGGAGATTTTAATTAATTATGTATCAATTCTATGTATTTAGTATATAAAACTATTTTTCTAAGTGAAAGAGATCTTAAATAACATTATGTTTCAAATGGAGATGACTTTTAAGTTCAACGACACGTAAAATTATTATATAAAGTTACGCTAGAATCTTAAGGTGGCAGTAATTGGGACATCTACTCTAGCTATCATTGCCTCTGTGATATTTTAATTTTTCATACTTTCCTTCTTTTTTTGTTGCTTTTTATGGTGATGAAAAATTTATTATTATTGCAATATAACAAGGTACGGTGCAGAGACGCTCGAGGTCGACCTTGTCAATTATCTCAGAAAAATAGATTGCCATTGAAATTAGTTATTTTACAGAAATTATGTAAAACTATAATATTATACAAATTTTACAAAACAATGAAAGTAAACAAAATATAACTCTAATGAATAAAAGTTAACTCCAATTAATTAAGATCATTTTAAATTATAAAATAATTAGACATATATAGGTCTTCTGTTTAACGTTATCTTCAGTTTGTCATCGTTGTTTTTTTAATGGTATCATGCATTTCTAACTGCACAGCGTAGTAACTGTTAGGACGGGTTCAACAACATAGTATACTATAACCTTGAAATGACCTTGGATTCACACGTTTAGGATCGATGAACTAAAGTTTCGTTTCTCAAGCTATCAGGTTACATTCATAACAATAACATGTGTGCCGCCAATAGACGGTGATCTCTAAATCTGTACAATATATTTTTTTCACCGAATTGTTGATGGAGATATCATATTTGTTTATTCAAAGGAAGAAAAGATGACCAAGGTCATTTCAAGATTATAGTATCCTATGTTACTGAACTCGTATTGACATCAGATAATAAGCTATGAAGTTAAAAATTTATAGTACTATTTAAAAAAACAGCAAAGACTTTTAAGTAACCTTAAAGATAATTTCAAATAAAGGGTCTATTTACACCAGTCTTCAATACTAACAGAGAAATCGAGGTGTTTCGTTTCTCGTGATTCACCCTGTATATGGCAGTATAAAATAGAACCGATAGGGACATATTTATCGAAACGTTTTACTTATAATCTACACGTGTCACATTTTTTCGGAAAGACATAAGTGTCCATATAACTATGACCGGTAGTGTAAGTACACTGTTTTGTCACAGCAATAATTTGAAATTTCGACTTTCAAAACAAGATAAAACACAAATGGACTATAAACTATACATATATTACAACGTATTCTTACCTATGCATACTCTTAACACGAAAGGTGCTCTTCTTCCACGAGTCATCTCAACATTCGTTAGACCTCCTCTCGAAATCTACAATGAAAATAGCAGTTTAGTTTAAAGATTCATGTAAATACCATTTTTATTTTTTGTTTATATATTAATAACAGACTGCATCCTTCTTTTCTATATTATGAAACAATACTTCCGTAAAATATCGACAACCCCATAAGTACGGAGGGTTTAGACAAGTTTCATAAACTTATAATTCTCAATGGAGATTGAAGACTCCGAGAAATCTGGCTATTATTTCTTTGCCAGTTTAATCTAGCGACATTAATACAGAGGTTGCAAATTGAAAATTTGTTTGTTCCTAAATTTTTTATGTAAACTAAAATTCATTCGAAAAGGCCAATAATTAATTAGTGATCAACATAAAAGGAAAGCAAATGTGGTAGGAATAGTATTGTAGTTTCGCAGATAACAATTATACATAGAATGTGTTTTTGCTAAATTGTGCAAAGAGTACACATTTTGTCGCCTCGTATTCTCGTATATATCTTCGTAGTCGCAACAAATTCAAAATGAGCAAAGTATTAACCAACCCCCCTCCTCTCCCTCAATTTTACACGGATTATTTCATATTGAAATACCCTCAGAATTCTTGATATTGAGTACAAATAAATGATTGATTTAGCGTGGAATAATTGTTCTATAAACAAACTAGGAATATCCAGGGTATAAAAAAAGATTCATTGTAAAGTGAAATTAAATAGTTCTAGATACTCCAAATTTTTATATTTCTTTTATGCAATTGTATTTCGTCTAAAAATCTATATATGAAAATAAAATAGTACCATGGTTGCTCAATAAATAATTTAAGATATTTCAAATGCCCTAATAAATCACAATTCTGAGCACTCCATTATTTGTACAGTTTATAATAAATTTTTACGTATTACACACAATTTTACATTTTTCACTACAATTTCAAAGTTCATTTTTTCACGGTTAATATAAGACTAAAAAAGGATATATACTAAAAATGGAATAAAATTTTTGAAAAGTCTATGCTACCAAATCTTTGAAAATGAATATTATATAAGTAAACAATATTAAACGTAAATTTTCAATACAATTTTTATTAAAATATGTTTGTCATGGAAGATTTTATACCATGCCATAAACATCAGAGGTAAGCGTGTTCAATCATAATATTGGATAGAAAACTTTCATTTTCAATGTTTAATTAAGTCATATTAGTATGTAAGTCATAAAGTAAATTTTATAAATTTTGTAATTTTGTTAAATTTGTAGGTTTTGTAAATTTTGTAAATTTTGTAAATTTTGTTATGATAGTAAGAGTAAATCCAATTTATGAATTTGTTTTATTAAATTATGTGTCTACTTTGAAACACCAAAGGAAATATAATTCTGTTTTTGTAATGGCGATGATAGACTGTAATAAGTAATATAATTAATAGGTAACATAACAGGAAACACAATTTTCTTGTGAAAACTCAAGATGTGTTGTATAATATAAAGAAGCACAGTTATTCAAATGACGTTCCCAAAAGGGTACTTATAATACCGATACAAAATGTTGTTTGATGTTTCTATACTATTAAATATTCATAAGTTTAAAACAGCTTTCAGATGGCATAAACATGAATCCTGATAGAAAGTAAGTCTACTTGCTTCATGATACTAAGTAGAATATGCCGGGTCGCAGGTCAGACACATGATGAAACAAATAAAGAGTTTAGTAAAGAGAACCGAATGCTTTCTCACGTTTCCTTTTGTTTATGAAACACGATACTCTACAAGAAATGATTTTCTCAAGTACAAATACAATCACTTCCGACTAATCGAGAAACCGCTCATCAATCATATTACAATATTAATTTCTAAAAAATTGTTCTATATTGTATAGTGTCAATATTATATTGAATTTTATTATTATGCTATGTATTTTAGGTAAGCGTATATGAATCTTTTTAGACTCATATATTTATGCGAATTCACAGTTTGGTCGTTACTCTATAAAAATAAAAATTAGACAGCCCTTTATTTTATTTAGTACAAACAATACGTTAAATAATTTACAAACATATTATACAAATACAAGCTTCCACACATATACCGATACACGAAACACAGAAAAGTTATGATCCATTTTTTATTTTCAATTTAACGCACCCTTTTTAATTGCTTGTACGTATAATTGTATTGTTTTAATATTTCGCTAATAATTAGCTAAATTATTCATATAATTATTGATATAATTATTACAAATTACACTAGTTTACAGTCATTTGGTGATCCAGACTTCACTATGAAATTCTTGTGGAAGGTGGTCGCCTAACCTCAAAAATCGACATGAGACGTAATTGTATCTATGGATACGTTTTCGAGATATCGCCCGATGAATATTTTGGTAATTTTTTAAAAATACGACCCGACGCTTTTGTCCGTATCTCGCGTTGTAGTTGATCGATTTGATCGCGATGCATCTTATATTAAAGGTAATTAAATTACATGCAATTCTTTCTTAGATTATTTTCCAATCAGACCAATAGTTTCGGCGAAATCGAGTGAAACTTAAAAAAAATTTCATTATGTGACCTCCAGATTCTTATTTTTTTACGTAGAGTACGTACCTTTACGAAGAAAACAAGCCCAACCTGAGCAAAATCCATGGATAAATAAGGAAGTTATGAGCGATAGAGTCGAAGTGCCGATTCTCAACTTTTTGCCTATTTTTTCCTGTTGCTTGGCGAATTAAGTATTTGTTTTCAATCAAACAAATTTAAATGTATTTTCTCTGCGTGTTTATTTATTCAAGAAGAAAATAAAATAAAATGCATTTCAATTTGTTTTCATTGAAGACAAATACTTAATTCGCCAAGAAACAGGAAGAAACAGGGAAAAAGTTGAGAATAGACACTTCGACTCTATCTCCATAACTTCCTTATTTATCCATGGATTTTGCTCAGGTTGGTCTTGTTCTCTTCGTAAAGGTACGTACTCTACGTAAAAAATAAGAATCTGGAGGTCACATAATGAAATTTTTCTTAAGTTTCACTTGATTTCGTCGAAACTATTGGTCCGATTGGAAAATAATCTAAGAAAGAATTGTATGTAATTTAATTACCTTTAATTTAAGATTCATCGCGATCAAATCGGACAACTATAATGCGAGATACGGCCAAAAACGTCGGGTCGTCTTTTTAAAAAATTACCAAAATATTCATCGGGCGATATCTCAAACACGTATCCATAGAATTACGTCTCATGTCGATTTCTGAATTTAGACGACCACCTTCCATAAGAATTTCATGGTGGAGTCTGGATCACATAGAATTTTAAAAATTTTGTAAACTAGTGTTAACATTAATCCCAAATATAATTCAAACATATTTCCTGTGCGAAAGGTTTTAATACATAACTATTCACAGACAGTAATAAACTTCATTAAAATCAAATTTATTTTGCTATATTCTGCAAGTTATAGAATGCTATAAATATATAAATATCCGCCGTCTGGTAATAAGAAATGAGCTTACAGAAAAATGTAAGCTATGAGAGAAAAAAGATGCGTGTTACATATATGTGTGTATTCACGTTTAATATTATAACTACACTATGGATTTTATGCACTTATACAATATACGATTATCAAAAATTCAGTGAAAGTTAAGTAGAAAGTTTAATAAAGTAGAGTGATTCTTATTTTATTTTAAACTTGATAGAGCTCATAATAAAGTAAAACAAATTTTCTTTGTTTCAGTTTCTGATAGTTACACCGCAAATATATTATCAATTAATAATAATATATCCTTACTGCATTGCCGTGATACACAATATAATAATGAAGTGTGTATTAAAAAAATGTATTACAGATAGAGTCAAGGTACAATTATATGCGGCCATTAGCCTAATCTAAATTAGACTAAACTACAGTTTAATTTTTTCTGTTATCATTCAGAGTAATATCATCGGACATCTTATTTTTCGAAATTTGTAGTATAAAATACAAGTTTGAAATATTAGTTACGCCAATAAGTAATATTGACAGTATATTTTTTAATAAACTTGTAACCTGATTAAGTTTAAAGTACAATATCTTCCCTCCAGCGTTCTTTTTAATGATAAAGGGTATAGATATACCTGGCACCTCCTCGAACGAAGTACTTAATTGTGAAGAACTTTCCATTGAATTTTATAACGCAGCCGGAAAAACATCTCCGTGTAATATATTCCATTTTCTGCTGGAAATGTTACCCTGCTCGGCACGTTGTACAAACCTCTATGTTCAACATTCAAGTTCGTCCGAGAATATACCAGGATTTGCACGAATATTGTGCGCAGATTCGTGATTGTGGATTCCAACCTGAAATTCCTGAAAACGATTTCACAATTTCCCTTTCCTCCTGCTTGTGTTTTAATATTTATGGCGTATATTCACTGAGAAATATTGTTATTGGAGACGTAGAGAACCGTCGACTGCATGACAAAAAATGGTTTTACATTTCGGAACCTGATGTTCTGCGAATATGTTCTGGATTTTGTTTCGGATAATATCAAAATGTTCGGTGAAAAACTAGTGCAGCTAATTCTTTGTTATTTCCACCTTTACAAAGTTCTATTATATAATTATTTATACTTTTAAATATTCATACATACTTCTTAGTAATTTTAAATAATAGTTTGAGAACTATATACAGGGTGCCCCACGCAACTCGGATATGCCACAGCGTTAAAACGGTAGAAGAAATAAAAGAAATTTAATTAGGAAAGATTAAATGGTTTCGAATGGTACATCACGTGATGCATGTGTTTTCTCCGAAAGTGGAGACGTTTCACAGATCTCAAGGTCACTTCTATTTTTTTAAACGGCACTGTCCATATTTTATACACCATTCTATGCATTGTTTAATTATTTACAAAAATGTATTAAAGTACTTGGTTCGAAAAATGGATAGTTTAAAAGATATTTTAACTTCAGTCTCTCAACATTGTTGAACGTTTCTTCTCTATATCTTCGCTCATGTTTACTAATTCTATCCTTTTAAACTAATAATTTTTCGATG